TTCCAGTTTGCTGTCTTCAGCTCCTCGGTGACTCTTACCCACTTTACATCCAGTTGTGCTCAATTTCTGATGGCTCTTTCCCTGTCCACATGTCCTCATCATCCACTTCCTCCAAAGGGGAAGCAAACACTCCTGTTGGCCACCTGTGGCCATGTGCCCCTGGATGCTGTGGCCATCATGGGACCGTGGGAGTCATACCTGTAGTGTTCCTGTCACACTGGTCTCGTGGGGACAGCGAGAAGGGCAGCCTGGAGTCTGGGCATGAGAGAGTCCCTGTGGCCATCGGTCAGAGCAAGCAGCACAGCACTGGCAGCCTTGGAAGCCCTGTTTGCCACTGTCCCCAACCACTGTCTCCTCCCTGGCTTTCCTGGGGTCACCTGACTTTGAAAGCTCCTCTGCCTTTGCCAAGAATCGCTCACTTCCACTTGCAGATGAATGGCTGGTGTGACATATGGGCTTCACCGCAATAGAAAGGTTAAACCAGGCCATGTTGAACATGCATTTTCCAGTGCAGGAACCCCGAGCCTGTGATTCCTCAGGTGTGCCTACACTGAGTGATCAGACTGGGGAATTGTGTCACAGGTGGGGTGACAGTGCATTGTCCCCTCAGAAGTCCCCTCTGTGTCCCTTGCTGACGAGGAAGCCAAATATGAAAGGCTACCCTTTGTGACACAGGTACCTGGCGTGGGAAAGACTAGCTTAGCGACAGAAAAAGGAATTGGTTGTTATGTGGGTCTATCTGAATGTGGAGTGAGGTGGTCTACTCCAGGAGGCATGAATAATTTGGAGTTAATTAAATGCCATTCATTCCCCCCCCCCTTTTTTTTTTTGGTTTTTTCGAGACAGGGTTTCTTTGTGTAGCTTTGCGCCTTTCCTGGAACTCACTTGGTAGACCAGGCTGGCCTCGAACTCACAGAGATCCCCCTGGCTCTGCCTCCCAAGTGCTGGGATTAAAGGCGTGAACCACCACCGCCACCTTTTTTAAGAATTTTTCATTTATTTCTGTGTTCTGTGTATGAGTGTTTTCCTGTTGTGTACTATGTACATTCCTGATGCCTGCAGAGGGCTCCAGAGCATGTTGGATCCCTTGGAACTGAAGTCATGATTGGTTATCAGCTCCCATGTGATGCTGGGGTTTCACCCTTTGTTTTTGCAAGACCAGCAAGTGCTATTAACCCCTTACCATCTCTCTAGTCCCAAATGCTATATAATTATAACATGACAATATTTCTTTTCTTTTTTTGGGGGGTGGGGGTTCTTTGTGTAGCCTTGGCTGTTCTGGAACTCACTGTGTAGATCATGTTGGCCTGGAACTGGCAGAGATCCACCTGTATCTGCGCCTGAGTACTGGGATTAAAGGCATGTGTCACCACCACCCATCTGTGACGGTATTTCTTTAAGTGTATGAGCTTTAAAAACTTGCAGACTTGTATGGAGTTGGTAGTGCAGGTCCATAATCTCAGCACTTAGGAAGCTGAGGCAGGAGGATTATGATTTCATGGTCAGTCTGAGCTATAAAGTGAAATCATGATTGATTGATTGATTATCTAATTTTTTAAAGTTATGTGAAGGTGGGTATTTGCTTGTGAAAGCAAGTGCCTTTGGAGACCTGGGTCGTGGTGTGGGGGTGGGGTT